AGGGTTCCCCCCCCCCCCCTGTCTCTATCACTTTTTTTTTTTTTTTTTTTTTTTTTTTGTGAGCCCAGCCTTTAACAACTGAGTCATTTCTCCAGCCCTCATGCACATTTTCAAAAAGACACATGACAACTACATGTATTTGGAATACACTGGAGGGCTGGTCAGTTGGCGTCCCCTGGGTTCGGCAAGGTCTCTTAGACACCCCTGCTTCTCTGCTTTCATACATCCCCTCCCTGCTGGTGACCAGCATGGAATTAAGAGAATTGAAGCTTTCCTGCCCCAGAAGCAAGGAACACAGGCAGCTCAAAAGAGCTGTGAAAATGGCAAGAGAAATGGAGGGCAAGAGCAAGGCACACAAATGGGGAGAACTTACCTAGGCGCAGGCTTTGGGCCCACAGGGACCAAACACTTCCCCTGACTGATGGAAGCAGCTGGTGCAGGCTGAGGGACATCATCCCAGCAGATTTCCTCTACTGGTAACTTGAGCCTATGACTGACTCTGGCCTTCCAACATTGAAACCAGGAGTCTTTTGAGCAAAAGCCTGGGCTCTGGCATCCCCCAACAGGCTGGGCTTAGACACTGTCCCAACATGCCAGATAAAGAGAATAGTGATGGTAAAAGACAGGGAAGCTCAGAGAGGCCACTTTCGGAGAAGGAACACTGCAGACAGGCAGCCTTCTTCTATGTCGTACCCTGGCTCCTCAGCTATGTGAGTGTGAAAGGATACCGAAAAAGAGGGAGGCTGCGCTTGCCTAGTTGCCCAAGTCAGCAGATTCTGTTCTCCCTCCTTAGGAGACTACCTGGGAGGGGAGGCATACTGGGCTGGGGGCCTGCACCTCTACACCCCACTGCCCTTCCGGCCAGGCCAGGGTGGCTTCGGAGAACTTTTCAGAACCCACTTTTTCCTCAATGCGGGCAACTTGTGCAACCTCAACTATGGTGAGTCTACCCTGTCTACAAGTCCTTCTGGTGTGGGGTGCTGCCTTTCCCTGAGGATGCCATCATGGAGCAGGGGTCTGTGGTCTGTTTCTTACTCTACAAACAAGATTTAAGTGCTTCCAGTATCATTAGGGCCCAGAGCTCAGCAGGGCTCTGTCAGAGGTGTTCACAGGGGACTGATTGAGCTGAACAGTTTGGGAGCCCGGGCCCTATCTGAGGTGTGGCGTGGGGCCTCCCAGCTGCTTCCTGGGAGAGCTTTTGTAGGTATAGGGGGCAGGATAGCCAGACCCAGGGAGTTGAGACACTCAGCTGGCTCTGGGACAGTGGGAGGCAGATACCCAATCCTATACCTATCTCCACTGGGTGGGCCCAGCTGTAAGGGGCCCTGCCAGGGAGGGAGCCACACGTCTTCTAACACCACCCTTGCTATTTCAGGTGAGGGCCCCAAAGCCCACATCCGGAAGCTGGCTGAATGCATCCGCTGGTCCTATGGAGCAGGCATCGTCCTCCGGCTTGGCAACATCGCTCGGTTGGAGCTGAACTACTGCATTCCTATGGGCGTACAGCGAGGTGACAGGTGTGTGGAGCCATTGTCAGCTCCGTAGCTCTAGAGTTGCCGTTTGCACTGGGCTGGTCACTTCAGTGGCTTTAAGGTTTGGGACTGGGAGAGATTGGATAGTCAACTAAAGAATGAAAAGTATGTGGGACCTCTGCTTGAGTTTCTCCTTTAGTTAGAGGGCAAAGGGAGATGCCCACCCCTTCCCTGAAACACTGCTGCTACTGTCCCCAGGGCAGCGAGCCCTCCGACTGAGGAGCTAACCAGGTGGGAAGTATTGACCCTGCTTGCTGGAAGGGTAGTGCAGTAGCAAGAGCTTCTCTGTGCCACCACTGGCTGGGGCTGTCTGGCCACAGCCTAGCCATGGGCTAGAGGACTCCACCCATGGATGGGGAGTAATGGCTCTCTTACTCGGGTGAATTTGGCTAAGGGCTGCTCAGGGTTGTATGAGTTACCCCATCTCTTACATTACCTTGTAGGCATTGTGCAAGTGTCTGGAGACCCAGAGGGATTATTATATACAGGATTCTTAAAGGTCAAGGGAGTCAGAAGTCAAGATGGGTGCTGGGGGGAAGTTCCTGGCTAGGGCACTATGCCTGGCTCGAACATGGCCACCTTCTTGACAAACAGTCTCATAGAGAGACAGTACAATCCAAGTGCTTAGGTGTTCTACACAGGCTCAAATCCACTGATGGGCCCTACCCATGTGACTATCCAAGCTAGATCACTTCCCCAGGGCCACATGCCAGGTGCCACCTTTCCTTGTAATAGACCTGGACTAGGTTACTTAACTACTCTGAGTCCGTTTTCCTATCCAGAGGATGAAGGGGACCCTTCAAGGATAGATGTTTGCTGCTCTGCTGTTGTGTGGCGTCTCTAACTCCTGAGACTGCTGGTGTTGTCCTGGCCTGTCCTTTTCTGTCACTGAGTGGTGTGCCCTGTCCACACCATGCCTGCTGCCTGAAGTTTGACATGCCACAGTTGCAGGTGTGAAGAGAAGGCCCGATGCTCTTAGGTCCCTGGTGCATAGTGGGTGGTTTCTCAGCAGCTGCCTCTTCAGCACGGGGATTTGCTCTGTGCAGCCTTCCATGCAGGTGCAGCTGGAGCTGTGGCCAGCTGGCCGCGAGGCCCATGCCCCCCGGGAAGCCCTGCAGGGAGCATTGTGAGTGCAGGTTGGTGTCAAGTCAGGGCCAGAACCCAGGAGCACTTCTCAGGCTGTACTCTGGGCTAGTTCACCCGCTTTGGGAGTGTGCTGTGCTCCAGTGGGCGCTGCTGCTGCTTTTAACACCTCCGCGTTTGTGAGCCATGCTACTGTAATACTGACAGCAGACACAGGGTGGCAGTGTGCACCAAGCAGTTGCTTTGCTTTTGATCCTTTTGCTAATTGGCCCTTTAGCATATGCTGTTTACAGCTCAAGACCCCTCAGCTGTGCCTCTCTCTTAGTTAAACCCGAAAAGCATGTTTCCAAGATTGATCCCGAACATAGCCTTCCTTCATAAAGAAACAGTCTGCTGCTGAAGTGGGGGAAGGCCCTGGCTCAGGCTGCTGCAGCTGTTTGCCATTGTGACGGTGGCAGCAGGTGTTTGCAGGGGGCAGTGAAGTCCAGGACCAGCCTAGAATTTGGAAATATCCTTCCCTGTGTAGCTTGGCTTGCAGCTTTGTTAGCAAGAGTGGAATTTGATAACATTTGAGGGACATGGCCTCAATTTCAAAGTGTTCCTAAAATTAGGCAGTTGGCAGGTGGACAGTTGTCTGTAGCCCCTCCCCCAGGGTTAAGCCAGGTTCTCTGTAATTGGCAGTTGAGGCCTTTACAAAAGGGAGGCAGTTTGAAGTGTTTTGACTTCCATCCTGAATGGTTTATGTCACCGCCTTCTCTGGGACCTGAGGGTTGTGTCACAGCAGGGCTCCTCAGGCTAGGTCTCTGGAGACCCAGCGATGAATCAGCCCTGCTCCCGCTGCCCATTGAGCTGTAGGAGGGACACCATCACTGCAGCTGGGGAGGGCAAGAGGCCCCAAGATGGGACATTGCTGGACTCTCTGAGGACACGGGTGGGGAGGGCGTCCTGACTGGACACAGCTGTCCTGGGGAGGAGTGTAGAGTGGGTGGACAGAGAATGCAGGGTTGCAGACTCTTCAGGGGAATGGCTGCTGACAAGTGAGCCTCTTTACTCTCCTTCCTCACCCGCCCCCTCCGGCTACATTGATGTCTTCCTCTCCGTGTCTGTCAGGGAGGCCTGTGTCTGCTGTCCCATACACTTAGCACACCACCCAGGAGGAGGAGCTCTGGGGGTTAAGAGCGGGCATCAGTAGGCTTTCCTGATGCTGCTCTGGGCCTGCTGTGAGGGGTGAGCATTGCCACCATGGGGCGGGAAGGCAGCCTGCACCTGGCCCAGGGGTAGAAGCTGAGAAGGCCCACGGGGTATGCAAGAGGACTGATGGGCCCTGGCCTTGTGACTCTGGATGCCATCTTGAGTACCCATCATGGGCATTGCTCTGTGTCATGTGTGTGTCACAGCACAAACGTCTTGGGTTTGTTTACAGTTGTAGTAACAGAACTGTACTGAATGCCTTGTGTTCTCTAAAGAACTTGGTATATTTATCTCCTCTGGGTGTTTCTTTAAAGCAGTGACAGCAGCCACAGTCCCTTTTATGGACCTCAGTCTAAAATGTGGAACTGGCAGCCTAGGCCCACAAGTGAGGGCACTGGCACACTGTGAAGCTCGGATTCCATTCCTCAGGCTCCAGGGGAACTGCTTTCCCCCAGTTCTGAGGGCTCCTCCTCAGGGGAGTAAGTGACTGCTGCACATTCCAGTGTGGCAGCACTCAGGAACCTGTGTCTTGAGGACACTGAACTGGGTGCTTGGTACCTGCAGCCAGTCCTGGCCAGAGTGAGAAGGGCCCCAGAGCTGAGCTCTCCTGAGAGCACACCTGTGGTGACCCTTTTTATCTTCCTTCCTGGATCAGGTCTGTCTGGCTGGCTGGGTTTGGGGTCATTGTGAGTCCCAGGACCGGCTTTCTGCTTCTGTGCCTTCCTGTCCTGACACTTGGGAGCGGGGAATGGGTGGGGGGTTGTTGCTTCTGGTGGGATGGAGCAGTAGAGGGTCTTAGGCTCTCTCTCCTTTCTCCAAAGGCTGGTTCTTACTAGCCTAGGCAGAACTAAGGGGGCTAGTGGAACTTCATGCTATTATAAGGAATGCTGTGTTTGACTTTTCCCTTTCCTTTTAGGATCTGTGATGGCGTCCAGTTTGGAGCTGGGATTCGATTCCTGTAACTTAAGTTACAACCCCAGGTCAGCTTGGATGTGCAGCGAGAATCTCCCAGGCCACAGGCCTGTTTGGAGGTGACACAGTTGAGTGCTTCTGGATCATAATCCTTATGGGAAATCAGGTCAATAAATTTGAAACACTCAACTGTGTCCTGGATGTGGTCTGTCTTTCAGGCCATGTGTCTGTCTGGACACCTGCTTTTCCTGAGGACATGTGACAGTTCAACCTGGGCAGTTTTGGGCCTAAGGGCTTCCAGGTGACCTCCCCAAAGTGCCTTTTCCTCATAGACCCCTAGAGTCTGCTGTTGGGCTCCAACCTACCCGAAGTAGGGCTGAACTCTGGGTGGCCTCAAAGGACACTGCCCCTGTCACCCCAGGCCACTTCATTGGCAATGTGGTCTTCCAGTGCTGGTATGATGTTAGGATACTGAGGTAGAGGTGAAGTGTGCTGTCTACTGATAGCCATGGCTGCTCTGCATGTCACATGGTGACTCAAGCTGCACAGCCATCAGCAGCAGGGAGCTGGGGTGTCCAGAGGCCCAGATGCCAGTGCTGGTATGATGTTAGGATACTGAGGTAGAGGTGAAGTGTGCTGTCTGCTGATAGCCATGGCTGCTCTGCATGTCACATGGTGACTCAAGCTGCACAACCATCAGCAGCAGGGAGCTGGGGTGTCCAGAGGCCCAGATGCCACTGGGCAAGACTGGCTTCTACAGATGCCCATGCTTCCTCTTCAGAGCCGGCAGACCTGCCTTCCGCCTCTACTCTCTTTGAAGGACCCTTTTGATTTCATTGGGTCCCCAAATGGACCCGAGAACCTTATTTCAAGGCTAGCTGAGGAGCACACTTGTCTGTCTGCCACTTGCTCCTCTCTTGCTCTGGCTTCATATAGTTGTTAACCCTCAGTCTTTAAAAGAGGGTCAGTTGGAAGCCACACCCTTCCTCTGCTTGGACACAGTATCGGCCGATGCTCAGGGCTGTCATATAAAATGTTACAGGATTTTTTGGGTGGGTGGGAGACAGGGTCTCATTATAGCCCAGGCTGTCATTGAACTTTCTGGGATCCTCACTCAGCCCCTCAAATGCTGGAATCACTGGTATGCATGTCACATCAGGGTATTACAGGGTATTGCCTTAGCATATGCACACGGACTGTGAGTCATCTATAAGTTCCAATGTAAAGGCTTGAGCCGGGAGATGATTCAGCATCTGTGAGCCCAGGAGCCTGAGGCAGGAGAATCACCTTGAGTTCAAGGCCAGCTTGGGCTACATAAGACCCCATCTCAAAAAAAAAAAAAAAAAAAACATACTAAAATAGTTGTACTGAACAGTTTAGTGATAATGTGAAAAGTCTGGATATATTTGGGATAGACACAGTTTTTTGTGAGTTTTACTGTGTAGCCCAGGATGACCTTGAGCCTCTGATGTTCCTGCCTCCACCTCCCAAGTGCTGGGATTACAGGCGTGTACCACCACTGTGGATTCATGTGATTAAACCCAGAGTTTTGTGCCTGCTGGGCAAGCACTCTACCAACTGAGTGAGGCACATCCCCAGCAGCTGAGTCTTGTTCTGCCATTGGCTGGAAGCTGGGATAGAGAGCCTGATGGTGTGTGCTGTCCAGCTCTGTCCTGAGCTTCAGGGTTGGAATATGGGCATCTGTCTACTCTGACTTGGGTCTCTGTTAGTGGTGTTTGGGGGATGTTTTTCTATTTATTTACAAGCTTTATTTGTGTGTATAGGCATTTTGCCTTCATGTATATGTGTGCACCACATGGATGCCTTGTGCCTGTAGAGGTTAGAAAGAGGGTGCTGGATTCCCCCCCCCCCCCAGAATTGGAGTTACAAATGGTTGTAGACCATCCTGTGAATACTGGGAAGTGAACCCAGGTCCTCTGCAAGAGCAGCAGTGTTCTTAATCACTCCAGCCCCTTGAAGATATTCTTAGCTTTAAAAAATTAATATAAGCCGGGCGGTAGTGACACACACCTTTAATCCCAGCGCTTGAGAGGCAGAGACAGGTGAATCTCTGAGTTTGAGGCCAACTTGGTCTACAGAGCTAGCTCCAGGGTGGCCAGAGAGTTAACACAAAAACAAAACAAAAACTCCACACATTTATGGAGTTAAGCCTCCTCTGAAGTTTTTGAAAACACAGGATGTGTCTGGGATCTCAGCTCTGTACTATCAACGCAACACCCCCACACGCACCCCCCCCCCAGGTTCTCATTCTCTATCAGGTCCTGTCCTTCCTGCAGCCTTTTGTCTTTGCTAAATGACTTTGGGGCTGGGGGGGGGGGTCTCCCTGCACCCATACACCACCCCCATTACTCCCAGGCTCCCAGGCCTCTGAGCACTTCCCTCTCCATCCCACCTGCAGTGGAATTGGTGTTTGCCAAGAATAAACTTGTTCTTTGAATGGTTGGGAAAGTTGTCAGTTGTTCGTGCTTCCTCACTGATGCTTGTAACAGAAGAAGGAACCAAATGGGCCCTGATGTTGGGACCCTGATGTTGCAGACCCTGTGACCTTTGAGAACTCAGAGAAGGCACTTGTGAAAGTCTGGTTTTAATCAAGGCTGTGCTGCCCTGGGAGCTGCCTCTGGCTCCATAATGAAAGCAGCCTGGCTGTCTCCTGCTGGCCCGACATGTTTGATTTGCAGGCTGCCTGGCAGGCTGCTCTTGGATGAGGGGAGGGTAGGCCAAGATGGAAGCCAGAGGCCCAGGGGAGGAAGGTGAATTCTGCCCTTTCTCAGAAGGGTGTGGTGGGCTGACCAGAGTCAGCAGCCAGAGAGTCTCAAAAAGGCTGGGCTAGAAAGCTAAGGAGGGCAAGGCAGCTCCTTTGTCGGCCTTGGCCCAGATTCTTTGCAGCTTAATGCTTCATTTCTCCTCAGCATGTAGAAGAATCTAGGTGGGGACAGAGTTTGAGATGTGTTTAATTAACCTTTGCTCCACTCTGTAAGGGACCAGGCTTGTAGCCAGCTTGCCTGTTCTACAAGGACACTGGATTCCTTGCTTGGAGTGTGCTGGCTCAGCCGTGTGTGCATCCCCAGGCTGATTGTCCTGAACCTTATCTTGATACTTAAGGAAGAGCCTGTAGTGATGGTGCCCATCCCCCAGTGCTTGGGCCAAGGCGACTCCAGAGCTGCTGGGCCTTCCCTCTTGGCTTTCTGTCCTGAGCTTGCCTCATTTCTGATCTCCACCGACAGCCCTTTCTTGAGGCCCTGGTCTCCCAAGCATGATCCTGTGCACGTGATCACTGGGGGAACAGGGTAAGTAATTCCAATCTTTCTTCCAATGCCTTTATGTTGCAATTGCCCATAATAATAAAAAAAAATTCCATTAATACCGTCGCTGATTGTGTCATGAAGCTTTTTGAGGACTGGGAAACTGTCAATCTCTGTGTGGCAGATTAAAAACAAACAAACAAAAGCCCCTCCTTTTCTAGCTTTTAGGAGGCCCTGTGTTTGATTACTAGCACCACAGCAGAGCAGAAACCCTTTATCCGGTATAAATTCTCTACCTCCCAGTCCTGTGAAATAGGTATGGGTGCCCATGTTTATAACAATAAACAGGCCAGGGGCATGGCTCCCTGCCACAACCCAGAAGCCATAGCAGCTAGTTGGAGAGGCCCAGGACATTGGCAGGAGGCAGAACCAGGCATCTTGGTGGGACCCTGGTGAGGGTAGAAGATAGAGGGATAGGCCTCTCCTGCTCTGATGAACTCCAAAGACTGAAAATTGCTACTCAATTTTGAGTTAAACCTTGGTATGTTTTTACACTCCAGTGCAGTGAGAAGGAGCCATGGGAGGCTGTCTCAACACTGCCTTCCCTGGGTGGAAGCAATGGTCCAAGAAGCAATGAATGCTCTGCCCCGAGAGGATCCGGGCTAATGGTAATCACGGGCAACTTGTCTCAGAGCCAGAATGTGGCTTCAAACGTGGCACTTCCCTGACAAGTAAATTGCAGGATTCCTCGCCAAATCATTAGATAACTTTTAAGAACAAAGAACGAGCGGGCAAAAGGAGATGCAGCATGATCTTGCTGGAAAAATAAATAGCAATCATTTTTGAAAAGAAAGTACATTCGATGAATTTGACCCACTGAGAAAATTACAGCCTCTCTTTCCCGCCCTGCTTCGATCCGTCAGCCCCTAATGGAGAAAGCCTTCCTGTGTTTGTCACCGTGGAGATGGGCTGGTCAATTAAAGTAGTCTGCCTCATCTAGTGGAGATAATAGCAGGCCTGGACCCATCCATCACCATGGACTGGAAAGTGACCTCCCTATATTGAGTCAGAGCCCTGAAAGCAATCTCTCCTGCTCATTATCATACCCAGAAATTACTGCTCTGAACCTGATTTCCCTGAACTACCAAGCCAGCAGAGAGACTGCTGGACATAGTAGAACACAATGAGACGACACCGTGGCCTTAATACTGGACTTGGAAGTGGAAATAGATGTGTCGCCTAACAGGAAAGAAGTGAAACTAGATGCAACAGGACATCTGCCTGGTTGGGTTGACTGTGATTGCCACCTGATGGTAAAGCTGAGACTTTAACCCACTGCTTTTAGCAACTTTTTTTTTTTTTCAGCCATACCATAAGCTGTGCCACCTTGAATTTGACCCTTCCTGCCAATTTCCACAGTCCCCAGCCAAGGTCCTTAGTGTTTCCTGTCTGTCTGCAAAAGATCCCTTACAGCTCTCCCAAGGCAGGAAATGAAAACCACGTGGAAGGGGAAGGTCAGGTGCTTGGGCACCAGCACTGCTGAGCCTGGGCTTCCTTTGGTTGTTAGCACGTTCCTTCCATACAGGCCAGTCACTGTCCACACGGAGGTTGTGAACATGGCTTCCACCCTAATTCCAGAGCAGAGGGGCCTCCTGTGGCCCAAGGCTCTTAGGCACATCTTTTCATACCTCCTCTGTCTAGTCATCCTGAGTGAGGCAGTTGGGGTGCAGCCTAGGGACGCACAAGCCCTATATCCACAGCCCAGCACTGAAAAAAATTAGTGTACATTTATAACTTGAGGACATCGGTATTATCAGAAGATGTGATTTACTCCAATTTCCTTGATTTTTTGTTAATTTTATGGGGTTGTGTAGGTGTGTCTTATGTAACTCAGGTTGGTCTCTAGCTTACTGAGGTTGGCCTTGAAGTTC